GCAGGAATGATTTAAACGGAAGGCACGTCACGTTAGCAGACTGGGTTTTAAATCGAACCGGCACAGAAAGCAGTGAGAGCGTTACTTGTCATTCCATCTTGGCCACTGCAATACCTACACCTGGCTGCAGCGCGGGCAGATACGAACCTTGGGCAAAAAATACTTGTTCTGTAAGCGGTGTTCAGACAAGTGCCTGTCAGGATCATTCAGTAACCAGCACTGAAAAAAGACCTGTTAACATGGAAAATGGATTACATCTCCACCGTATCCCAGCAGCTGGAAAAACAAGTCCCTCCTGGCAAGGAACGCGTACTGCCCGAGCTCCAAAAGGCTCTGCTACTGGTAAGAGTCATGTTTCTGAATTTGGTGGAGGGGGATGTTCAGACGAAAGTCTTTTTCAATTACATCACAAATTTGTTTTCAGTTAAGACATCCAGCCTTTCATCCTTTCCACAATACGGCCAGTTTTAACAAGTTTTCACCATTTGTCATTGTCATTTCTATTCTAGTGGTGCCCAGAGGCCTCTCAGACATCGATCCCCGTTTTTTAATAGCTCTCTACCACATTAAATTAAAAGGAAGTATTTTCCCTGAGATTATATCCCTGAGTAATAACCAGATGTGACAGGTGGCCTAAAAGATATAGGAGGAAGTGACTAAGTTTATATGAGCAAGTTTTACAAGGTAACTGGGAGTCATAGCTTGTTATCCAACAGTCACTGCCACCTCAGAGTGAAAAAAACGTAGATCTACCGTGTTTTTTCAATGCTGATGCTGTAAATGCCTAAGATTATTAAGTTTTAATCCCAGTAATACAATTATTGCTCAAAAAAAAAAAAGTAACTTAGAGAGCTTCTACCAGACAAAGTTTGCTGTGCTGCAAAGTGTGTCTTATAAAGAATTTTAAGAAATGTGAACACCAATCCTGCGTTTTACTAAATTTACGCTTGGGAACAATATGATAAAGAGATTGATTGGTAAGACAGAGGAAAGATGCGTAAGAGATTTGGGGAGAATAAGCTTTAATATCCTGGATATTACATTTCTAAATAGGTTTCATGCTTTCTGAGTTGCCTTGTTTCTCCTCTTCAGCCTAGCTCTACTCTGTGCCTTGGGCACCGACAGCATCCTTGTGCTGGGAGCATTTGCAGTGGGCGCTGGTTTGCTTCCCACTGAGGGCTGCAGCTGGAGGCAGAGCTCCTGAAGCCGCTCCAAACCCCTCTGGGATGGCCCCAAGGATTGGCCATGCAGCTCAAAGACACTTTGGAGCAAAATAAGTAATTCCCATAACTTAAAAAAACCACCTAAATTCCAGTTTTATCTACTGTAATCCATAGTTTTAACCATGGAGTGATTCAGAGCAGCTTTGTTGTGCCAGAGCAGAGTTAGGTGAATATTCTTGGTCCAAAGCAGGGGTGGGAAATGCGAAATGTTATTGGCTGGTCCATTCCAGTTCAAAGTCAAAGAGATGAGCTGAAGATACGTGTGGCTCACCTAAGATAACGTATGTGATTTTACACTGGAAACGAATGAAGTCTTGCATTACCACCCCTCGCCTCCAGCAGAGATAGATACTTGCTTCTGGATGTCCTTGTTTGCGCATCAGATCAAGGAAGTTTACTGAGTGGTCAGAGTTTTGTGAGCACTGCTAATACTGTCTTCACTGCAACTTTAAATGCTACATCTCTGGCATCACATTGCTCCAGCTCTTACAGAGGAAAAGCTGAGTAATCTCTTTTTAAAAATTGGATGAGTGGGCCTCTCCTCAGTATCTGCTTAGATTTTGTGTTTTGCAAGTCGTCTTTATTCTGAATACTCTAGATAACTCTTAATGACTTGCTATTATTTGTGCTCTTGCCTGCAAATGCACAGACATCGCCATAGTCTTTGTCCTGAAGCACTTGCTCTGAGAGCCCGAATGCTGCATCCCTCTCCAGTTAGATACGTGCTGGGGCCCTGTTACGGAGTGCAGTGAGGTCTGTGGGGACACTGCTGAAAACATGAGCTGTTGCCATGCTTAGCCAAATGACCAGAAAGAATAAAAGTGAGAACAAGGTGAATAAATAAAGTTGTTGTCTGTGAGGACCCTCCTTGAGTTGGGCTTCCAGGCTTCAAGTGGTGTATCTTCTGGCTCACACCTATTGTAGTGTAGCTGGATATTGGAATTATTTTAAGTTCTTTGTTGTTCAGTTGGTGAAATGGTTTAGAAAAGTGTTTAACATTTAGCCTGCGACAAATTCGCTTGCTTCAACAGGAGTAGGCTGCTCACTATCTCATTCCCTTAAAGATACTATTGCTTACTGTATTTTTATCTTACATTTCTCAAAGGAGTCTTTTCCTTGGCATAGATCTAGCGTGTCTTGCAGATCATTTTAATTAAGTGTTGATGCATATCAATAGAACAACGTCGAATTTAATTTTTCAGAAAACATTATGTGATTACTAATATAAAAAGGAGTTTCTTTTTTGCTTCTTTTTTAGATTTTCCCCCATATTCAATATAACATGATCACATTTCTTTTTCTTTTCAGGTGCTGTTCAGCACCATGTGGCACATTACAGTAATTCTCATATAACTAAATGGCAGCCTATTAAAGCTAATGTGTCCCATGTTATTACTGATGGCAGCAGCCAGATTACCAGTTTCAAAGTTGCTTCTAGGATCAATGAATTGTTTTCTTTTTCTGCAAACGGTAATAGTTCTGCTTTGTTAAATATCAATGTAACAACAAATGGAGAAAGAAAATTCTGTTAAAAGCACTAGAAGACCTCTTGGTCTAATCATAAACTATACATTGAACTGCGTATGTAAATATTTAGTATGTAAATAAGTCATTTATCTTCCCAAGTACACATCAAGTAACCACATTTACAAATCAAGTAACTGTGTTTACAAACGAGAATATAATATCTCCTTGGATATGCAGATTCCTGACTTGCACATGAAAGTTTAATTAAGAACTTAATTTTAATTCCAAAACTCGACGCTTTAATTTTGAAAATGTGTTATTATCCCAGAGAAAACTGAAATAAATTTGACATACAGTATCTAGGTTAGGCCTTTCTAGCTGAGAGAAAATGCTATACAGCAGTACTGTCATCAGAATTAGTACACAGCTGTGTAAATTGATGAGATTAACTGCAAAATCCCAAGCTGTAGAACCATCTGGACATGGTCCTGGGCAACCAGCTCCAGGTAGCCCTGCTTTAGCAGGACCAGGTGACCTTGAGAGGTCTCTTCCCACCTCTACCATTGTGTGATTCTGCAAGTCACATAAACAGAGTGAACAATTACGTGTTTTCTGCATGGTGCTGTGTAACCTTAGCAAATGTTGAATCCATTAAGACATAAGATAGAGCATCTCAGCAACAGGCATATATTGTGTCAGACAGTTAGACTCTAGGATTGTTCTTTAAGTGCAACTTATTTTTTAAAACGTTGCTTTTTGGCATTATATTTGGTATTTGGTGTATCATCATTCACTGTTCATTGTCCCTTTTGGTAAGACCCCATCATATCTTTGTACAGACCATCTTTATCACCTGGAATTCAAAGTGAGGCTTCACTTAACCTGCTTATTAATGTCCACATACAAATCACTTCTGTATCTTATAGTTCTATGGTAACATGAAATTAAATACGCCTTAGAAGTGCCTGTTTCTCTCTTTCCACTATAAGAAAATGCATCTAGTGAGATCAGATATAAACATACAGAAGGTAAACATCTAAACTTGGACAGAGACATTTACTCACCATTACTAGTTCTGCTGCTGTTATCTTTATCATGTTTTTACACATTTCAGTTTATTTTTGTACTCGTCTTTTAAGGTGCTGTTCCTGTTATAAGACAAAAGGAGGTTTTTGACAACCATGAAAATAACACTAGAGCTTTTTCAGAATACAGAAGACAAAGTGTAGCCTCTAAAAGATGGAAGCCTCCTCATCATGCACAGGTAAATAGTAAATACTATAAAAAATAAAAAGCCTACTTATCTTCAAATGGAAGGAGTTTCAGCAATACCAAAGGTTTGTTCAGTGTTACGCAATTCTGAATCAATGTGCTTGTTAATGAAAAGAATAAAACTAACTGGAATACATCACTATATTACTACATACAAATATTTTTGCACTTGAAAATATTTAGTAGTGCGAAATAATAGATAAAAAGTGTTCAGAAAGTAGTATAGTTACCTTAAATTACACTTAAGATATTATATTTTTAATATAATTTTTTATTTACTGTCTAGCTGAGTCCTGTTCAATCTGCATTTGATCCAGTACAAAATATGAATAACACCTACAAATCTGATGAAGGTATAGTAACATGTGTCACTTCAATTCTTTGTTATACAAAAGTAGTGACCTATTATATCCACTGTGTAACATCGCTTGTGTCTTTTGGCATCAGTATTTCTAAGTAAGAAAGAGTAGTTTGTTGGCTAGAACTATTTTTTTTTCCATGGAAATGTAAGATGTAGCATCATGTGTCAGGATATTGATGGTGTTATAAATGCATTTTATACTCAAGTATTGTTTCTTTCCTATTTAACAGTATGATAGATGTATGTATCATACATAACTGTATGATAGGGACAGGTATTGCTTGCTGATCTTTACATATTTCCAAAGATGGCAGAATTTGCTCTGGTGCCAACTGGAAGACGCATTGGTGACCTCATTTACGTATCATACTTCTTGACTTTGCCATCTTTTTGATCTCTTATTGTGAATTTTGTGTTTCACAGTCATGAAAGCAAGCAGTATATTTAAATGTCATGAACTCTTCTCATTTGAAGTTGCCCTTGTAATCTCTTCAGTTTCAGACAGCACTGTTCGGTTTCTTCTGGCAGAAAAATTGGCAAGTACACCTGCTGCCGAGGATGAAATCCTGGCAGTGCTGGAAAACGTGCAACCAGCCAGAAAAGCCTTACTGCTTAACAGGGCTCGGTGTCCACGCATGAGCACACTTTCAGTGGAAGAACAGAAGATCTTCCAGTCTCTTGATCGTCTCAATCGAAGGCTACAAAGTAAGTTTGATAATAAACAGGACTCTGCATCAAGTGATTAAGTAACTTTATATTTTGTTGCCATGGATTAATTTGGATTAAAACCACAAATCCTGTGATAGAAGTGTTTTTCTTCTGTTTTCTTCTTATGTTTATTCTTTACTAAATGTAGCAAACAGTTGATCAAGATTGTGAGACCTTTTTTGAAATCAATGAAATTAGTTTAAAATAATGGTGACTTTGCCTTGGTCAAAAAAAATAATTCAAAATGTGACTGGAGGACACATTCAGAAACTGGCAGGGCCCGATTGTAGCTGTCGTTCCTAACTGATATTTGTCAAAATTGTTCTTTAAAGATGTATGAGATGTATCAGCCTCACTTGGGAATCTGTTCCAGTGCTTTTTACATCTTGATTTTTGGCAATTGTTTTTGCAAATAATTACCCATTATATTATATATCCTATATTTTTACAAATGTAACCCTTTATAATGAATGGATTTTCATTTTTTTTCTTCTAGTCTTTATAATGTTCCTCTTCTCCATGAATTCTTAAACATCACAAATTCTGAGTTCTGAGATTGCTTCAGCCAGATCTGGATGTTTAAGTGACTATCACTTGCGCAACTACTAAAAAAAATATGTCAAATTTAGATAAGTGTTCTGTAACCTGTTCTTTCTCTATGCCAGGCTGATTTCTTAACTACTTTACACTGGTGTTTTTATACTGAGCTTTCCAATCACAGCTTCATTTTGCTGAAGAATGTGGGGAAAAAGTCTGTACTTCCTCTTGATATTTTTTCTCTCCAGTGATTAGTTAGCAAGAGCTTAGGTCATCTTGTTATAATTAACATACCTGCAGAACAAACTTATTTCTTGGACCTCTTGCTGCTGTATCTGATGGTTAGTATTTGCTTTGGCCTACCTTTGATCATACAGGTCTTTCATTAAAATTCACATTAATGTGCACAAATCTATGGGGCCAGATGGGGTTCATCCTAGAGTACTGAGAGAGCTGCCAGGAGTGCTCACCAAGCCACTGTCCATCTTGGATGTGGTAGTTGATAATGGAGGGGGCTGCCAGGAGTGCCCACAAAGCCACTGTCCATCTTGGATGTGGTAGTTGGAGGACGTCTGGGGAACAGTGACCATGAAATTATTAAGTTCTCAATTCTTAGAAATGTAAGGAAGGGAGACAGCAAAACTGTCACTTGGGACTCCATGTGTTGCCTGGTCTAGTCGAGAGGTGGCGTCCCTGCCCATGACAGGGAGGTTGGACTAGATGATCTCTAAGGTCCCTTCCAGCCTAGGCCATTCTATGATTCTAAGATTCTATGACTTCAGAAGGGTAGACTTTGATTTGTTTGGGAGGTTACTTGATAGAATCCCCTGGGAGTCAGTTTGGAAGGGTATAGGAGTCCAGGAAGGCTGGACACTCTTTAAGGAGGAAATCTTAAAGGCACAGGAGCAGGCCATCCGGCAGCATAGAAGACCAGCCTGGCTAAATAGGGACATTTGACTGAAAATCAAGGAAGAAAGGAGAGTTTATGGCCTCTGGAAGAAGGGACAGGCCACTCACAATGACTGAAAGGATAATGTTAGGTTATGCAGGGAGATAATTGGAAGGTCCAAAGCCCAGCTAGAAATTAATCTGGCTTTGAAAGTAAAGGACACCAAGAAAACAAATCCATGGGGCCAGATGGGGTACATCCTAGAGTCCTGATAGAACTGGCAGGGATTTTCACCAAACCACTGTTCATCGTGTATCAGCAGTCCTGGCAGACTGGGGACGTCCCAGCTGACTGGAAGTCAGCCGATATAATACCCATCTATAAGAAGGGACAGAAGGGTGATCAAGGAAACTACAGGCCTGTTAGCTTGAGTTCAGTTCCAGGGAAGCTGATGGAGCAGATCATCCTGAGATCCATTATGCAACACATGCAGGACAACCAGGTGATCAGGCCCAGTCAGCATGGGTTTGTGAAGGGCAGGTCCTGTTTAACAAACCTGATCTCCTTCTGTGACAGGGTGACCTGCTGGTTGGATGAAGGAAAGGCTGTGGATGTTGTCTACCCTGACTTTAGTAAGGCATTCAACACAGTTGCCCACAGCATTCTCCTAGAGAAACTGACTGTTCTTGGCTTGGATGGGCACACGCTTTGCTGGGTGAAACACTGGTTGGATGGCCGGGTCCAAAGAATTGTGGTCAATGGAGTTAAATCCAGCTGGCAGCCGGTCACGAGTGGTGTCCCCCAGGGCTCAGTGCTGGGGCCACTCCTGTTTAACATCTTTATCAGTGATTTGGACCGGGGGGTTGAGTGCACCCTCAGTAAGTCTGCAG